AAACTTTTCTGAATCCTATCCCAAACTTCATTAAAAAGGTAAGATTTAAGTTTTTGTTGTTATTACTTATTGTTATAGTTACGAATGATTGGAAAACGACAAAAATCGTTGAGTTTAGAAGTCAAGAAGGTGATCTTTCAAAGCATCGAACAAGGCGACCTCATGTGTAACATCACAGAAGAGTTTTCGAAATATAAGACTATTGTTTCGTCTTAAATGTTTCTAAATGTGTTCATTCTGTTTAAAATATAAAGTTTGTGTATGCCAGGGCAAAACACAAACTTTTTGTCTACTGAACGTGGAATTTGCATGTTTTGATATGTGCCTTGGGTCATTACCTTGTTGAAAAAATCTACACCGTTGGAATTTTTATGTTGTCAAACGGAAGCATAAGCTTCTCAATACTGTCAGTGTAATTTATACTATCCATCCAACCAGCAATAAAGACTAACGGACCGACTTGAGACGAAGTAAAGAACCTCCATACCATGATACTGATCCCTTGATGTTTCATGCTTGGTGCCTGGTGCTTTGGGGCAAATATTGTTCCTTTTTTTGACTTATATAACTCTACCTTGATATCCAAACAAACCAAAGTTGCTTTTGTCGGTCCACGAGCCTTTATCCCACTTCTTCTCAGACCACTTCTTAAGTTCACCTACCCATTTCCATAGGATCGTCTGGTTCTTCTTCCTGGTCAACGGTTGTTTTGCCGGATCACGTCCATTGAGCTTGCCTTTATTTAGTCTTCTTGCTACAGTTCGATCAGGTACTTTAAAGTTGTAAAACTACACTATTTCAGCATTTATTTTGGGTGCAGCCTTCATCGGGTCTTTCCAAGACAACTTTGCAATCACCTTATCTTGACATTTTGTCAATTTTCTTGTTCTTTTGTTGTTTAAAATTTTTTCTGGATGCCATTCTTCTTATAATGCTTCCAAATTAAAGAGACTTTAGTTTTGTTTACCTAAAAATCTTCTGTGATGTTACACATGAGGTCGCCTTGTTCGATGCTTTGAAAGATCACCTTCTTGACTTCTAAACTCAACGATTTTTGTCGTTTTCCAATCATTCGTAACTATAACAATAAGTAATAACAACAAAAACTTAAATCTTACCTTTTTAATGAAGTTTGGGATAGGATTCAGAAAAGTTTACTATTTTTTGTCCACTGTCAATTTTTGGATTCTATATAATGAGTCACGATGACATATTTTATGAAATCCGTCATTTGGGTATGATAGTAGGTATAACAACTATCAAAACAAATTTTGTTTCATACTAATCGGACAATTACGAAAAAAGTTATGTTGAAAATAAAAAAGTTTACTATTTTTTGACAACGGCTAGATTATGCGCTTTATTGTACACCGTGCTATATTGTACGTAGTATGTGGTACTGTGTTATGTATTACAATTTTCTATATAGTACATTCTATATAGTACAATGGTCTATGTATTATAGTAATGTGCTAAAAGTACAATGTGCTACATAGTGCAGTACTATGTAGTTAAACGTGCCCTGCACTACTGTGTTATATAGTACTGTATTTCATAGTACTGCACTAAGTAGTTAAATGGGCTATATGTTACTGTTTTATATAGTATTGTGTCATATAGTACAATGTGCCAAATAGTACAAGTATATATATAGTACCGTACTATATAGTACAATTACTAAGTAGTACAATATGCTATTATATATATTACTGTGCTGTATTGTATTGTATTGTGGAATATAGTACAAGGCGCCAGATAGTACTAGTACTAATATGTAATGTGCTATATAGTACTATGATACTTAGTAAAATGTGCTCTTTAGTACTGCGCTATGTAGTACAGACACTAACGTGTACTATATGCCTCATAGTTTTCGAAATATCATCTTTCGGGACCTCCATAGCCACGGCCAACTAACCTTGTTCAAGTATTATATCTGCCAAAATTGGATTGGGTTAAAACTTATCCAAACACAAATCCAATTTTCTCCGCTCGATTTCAATTTTTATTTGCCAATTTTGTATTACATCTTCTCAAGTAGCCATGTATACGTTTCGTCATACGGGCTTCTCAAGGGTTGGGCCGGCAAAAAACAGATAGGCTATGGGGTTATAAGAGGTATGGGGTTATAGTCGGCTGGCTTTACGTTTTTGATGATATTTGAACATTATATTTAAGTTTTTGTGTTTTTGATAAGTTAGAAATGAGCGAGGCTTACTTTTTAGGCTTATTTTAGACCTAAGGTTTTAGATTTAAAAAGAGGCTCACCGAGTCCGGCTTGGTCTTGAGCCTGACTAACTTTGACCCGGGGCTCAACTAGGCTCGGTCTAGCCTTTACTCGGCCCGGTCCAAAGTAAAACTGAAAAGGCCGAGCCACTCAAATGTGGGTTCAAAGGCCGCAGCCTAAACAAAAGTTCCATAGACCCAGCTACAGCCCTTTTACAGCTTCATGTAGACCAATATATTGTACTATACAAGCCAATACATTGTGAAGACTATTGCCGATAGTTTATTTTACAATAAAAGTTTATTTTTAATCTTAAAAATCCAAACAAGTTGAACTGGAGGTATGGGGAATTGAACCCCAGCCCTCTCGCATGCTAAGCGAGCGCTCTACCCCTGAGCTATACCCCCACGCTTCTGAAAGCTGTTTGAATCAGTAGTTTATTGATTGTGAAACTTTCTTTTGGTTTCATCTAATGAAGCCTTTAAAATCAAACTTGTTTTACACTTTTTGCAAGTTAAAGCTTTCGTTGCAAGACCTAAGCTGGACTTTTAGTGCCTTCGTTTGGGTCTCGGTCCTCACATTGTCAGGCCTAAATGTATCGGTTTGGACTCTTTAAAATTTGCTTTGGCAAGGCGGGCTGAACCTAGTAGGCCTACTTTCAGGACTATTTTATAATTTTAAGTTATCTTTTTAAAAAAATCAAAAATTAACTGATTTTTAAAGAATTTTGTAAAAATTTAGGCTTCAGGCTAAACCACGCTTCCCCAGAAATTAAGATTGCAACTTGACTTCTAGCAAAATTAATTTTGGTGTTTTTTCTCACGTTCGGATTAAGTGTCAACTTGAGGTCAGGCTGAGGAAAGAAGAGCTGCCTTTTAAAACGTTTGCCGTTTTCGGCAATTTGAGACATCCGCTCAGATTTGGATTCGTATTTATTTTTTGAAGCCGTTTGCTGGTTTTGAGTTTTATTACAGTATAAGTAATGTTATCATAGGTAGGGTAGGGGGTTGGGGTAGTTTTAGCTTGAGGGGGGGGGGTGTTTTTAGTTTGAGAAGGAGGGGGGGGGGAAGCTGTTATATAATATCTTAGGAAAGGTAAGGGAAAGGCAGATGTTTTCATATAAAAAAGGGGGTAGAGAAAGAGGTTTGTGGGTAGGGGTAGAGTTTTGGTATTAAAAACCAGGGGTAGGTTGGGGGTATGTGGAGATCTAATAGTTATGTGATTAAAGGTCAAAGACCCTTTTAAATTTAAAACCTATGACAATGACAATTTGTGTCACTTTCGAGCCTTTTGATTGTTCTGATTGGCATTCACTTCTTTTCCTTACTTCAACTTTTTCACGCCTTTTAATCAATCATGGTTCTTTATATTATCCTTGTCACATTGATATGATTTCTTTACCCTTGTAATAACTATAATGACATTGTTGTAAAAACTTTAGAATTTTAATTTTGTTTTTAAGCTTAAAGATAAAAAAATTTGTACTGGAGGTATGGGGAATTGAACCCCAGCCCTCTCGCATGCTAAGCGAGCGCTCTACCCCTGAGCTATACCCCCACGCTTCTGAAGATTGTTTGAATCAATAGCTTGTTGATTGTGAAGCGTTCTAATGAGTTTATTTGGTTGTTTGAAAGTAAATTTTAAAATATTTCACTTTTTATATAACATACATTGATATTTAGTTGAAATTTAATTTTTTTGCAAAATTTTCATTTTTTTGTGATTTTAAGCCTCAACAGACTTTTTTAGGTAATAAACTTCAACAACATCATAAATAGGTAAGAATATTATGAAAGAATACAATTTACAGCCTTCTAAAACCCTTTCCAACTGACCAATCTCAATTAAAAGTGCTTTATTATTCGATTTGAGAGGCGATCCATCTTTCTTGGACATCGTAAATTTGATTTCAATTAGATTTCGCTAATTTTTTAATTGTTAAAACGCCCAATATTTCAAATCAATCTCTGTGAATCGAATTGAAAAATGTTGCCATGTTATTATTGTTACCTATTTTGCTGTTTCTTTACTTTGTAGCTTGTTATAGCCAAATATACGGCCAGCCGAGGAGTAAGCTGGGGTTTTATCGTAAGTTTTGGGTAATAAAATTAAAATTTTTTGGTCTTTTGTTTCTAAAAATTGATCTAAAACATTAAAATCAAGTTAGAAAAAGAAAATATTAGCAAAAATATTACACTTGTTACCTAAAATTCTTATCTTTTTCCCAAAAAAACTTTTTTCTTCCTGATTTTTTGACGAAAAGTTGAATTAAAAGTGGACAATAAGCTTGTAAAACATAAACATAGGCAAAATATACCACAAAGATCACTAATCAATTGGTTTTCCGTCTAAAATATTGTTATTCGATCAAGTTTGGCACCCGTGGGGGTATAGCTCAGGGGTAGAGCGCTCGCTTAGCATGCGAGAGGGCTGGGGTTCAATTCCCCATACCTCCAGATCATTCTTGTGGATTTTTATGACTAAAAATGAGTTTTTGTTGTAAAATAAGTTGCCGACAAAGTTATAAAAAGCAAAGATTTTTTTTTAAACTCGTTAAATTTCTAAAATACGAGCTCGCGTTTTTTAAGTTTTAAATTTAATTTTTCAAAAATGCAGCATAAAAACGTCTGTCAATATTGGTGATTACTACGATCGCATTTCCTCGGACTTTTCCCAAAATTCGACCGAATTCCAATTTCGACCGGTCAATTTAAGCGTCCCGGAATCGACCAGTCGCGATCCCGGCGCCGGCTTCGCGCCGGACCCGGGATCAATGCAAAGTCAGCTGGGTCTCGCGACCGTGGCCCTGCTCCTGGGCCAGCTGTTCAAGAACGCGGAAGCGGGCCGCGGAATGGTGGCGGCCGAGGACTATCGGTTTCAGAGTCCGCCGCGGCGGAGAAACGGCTTCGGGATGCAGGTGGAGCCTGCCATGGATTATGGTGCTGTTTTTTGGCGGGAGGGGGGGGGGAAAGGGGGGGGGGAGGGGGAGGGGGGGAGGGGGGGGGGATTTAATGGAAAAAATGATGCTTTAAAGGGATTTTGGGACAAAATTAAAATTTTCAAAAAAAATTTTTACCACGCCCAAAAAACTTTTTTACCATCCTAAAATATTTTTTACAACCCCCGAAATAATTTTTTTACCATCCCTATTATAATTTTTTACTACCCCCAAAATAATTTTTTACCATACCCAAAAAGAAATTTTACTTCCCAAAATAATTTTTACCACCCCCGAAAAAATTTTTACCACCCCCAAAATAATTTTTTACCACCCCTAAAATTAAATTTAAAAACCCCTAAAACAACTGTATAGCAATTTTTTAACCTAGTTTTAGTTTCAGGTCCAGTTCAAAACAAGTTCCAATGTTATTCATGTATGTCGATGTCATACCAGAACAACTGGGACCGTCTACAACATTTGTATGTTCAGCCGAAGGTCTTCACGGACCGGTGTGAGAATCCGAGCGCATTCGAGAAGATGCCAACGATAGAATGTGGCTCGGTTTGTGTTTCACTGGTCGAAGCTGATGTTGATGGAGGTAGGGTTTGAATTTTTAAAATTTTGATACGTTTTTTTAAAATTCATTTTTTAATGGTTAAATTTAAAAAAATGCCATTTTCAGGTGTATTTATGGGTTTCAAGTACATTCGCGGGTGCATTAATCGAATACTCACACATGATTTCAATCTCAGCGCTTTGAGGACACATCGGCTAACACAGGTAAATACCCCTAGCCCAGAGCCTTAGCCCAAGCCCAGAACCCTAGCCCAGAGCCCTAGCCCAGAACCCTAGCCCAAAGCCCTAGCCCAGAGCTCTAGTTTAAGGCTCAGTCTAAGTACTAGCATAAGTTCTAGTCTAAGTCTTAGCCTTTGTTCTAGCCTAAGGCCTAGCTTAACACAGCATAATCACTAGCTTAAAGCCTAGCTTTTGTCCAAGCCTAAAACCTTGTTTTAGTCCACATCTTGCCCTTAGCCTAGTCCTAGTCTAAACCTATTATATTCTAAGGAAAACCAATAAAACCAAATTTCCAGGTTGATGTGTGCCGGAACATGCCTCGGGCGGTTCTGTTTAATAATCCGAAGACGGCACCGCAAGTGTTCGGCGAAGTGAATGTGTGCACGTGTTATGGGGATCGGTGCAACTCGGGCGAGAACTCGGCCCGCCAACTGCCTCCGGCAACTTGGCTAGTCCTTGTTAGTCTATTAATCATTCGGCTTTTCAGCTAACGCCTTAAATATCATACAAACTTCTTTGCTGTATACAAGATTTTAAAAAATTTTTTTTTAAATTTTAAAAATTTTTTCGAAGTTTTAAATTTTGAAACTTTTTTCAGATTTTTATGTTATCCATTTTTTAAAAAAATTTTTATATTTAAAATTTTTTTGCCTGACAGTCTAGTATAACAACATAGAGTACTATTCCTTTCTACTTTTGGTACTATTTGTCCTGCCACAAATTTGTTTTTATTGTATTTTACGCAACTCAACACACTCATAATTGTATTTTTCAATTAAAAAGCAATAAACTATACTTATTACAGTAACTTTTTCAAGGAAAAGTAAGGGTAGGGTAGAATACAGTACGCTAAGGTATAGTAGGGTAAGGTTACTTGTTGCAAAGTTTTGCGGGGACGGTGACAGCATTTTCTGGAGATGGGGGGGGTGACTTTGGCAAGAATGAAAGCAAAGTAATTTGTATAGTGGAGATGAGAAATTATAGGTTACATCATGGGTATGGGAAGGTATAGTAGGGTAAATTATTAGAAGACCGGGGCGAAAAGGTTTGGGTAAGGTGGGGTAGGATGTAGCAAGTAAAGAAAAGTAGTGTAAGGGGGAGTGGGGTAGGGTAGGGTAGGGTAGAGCAGTATTTATTACTATTAAAAAACGTTTCTTATTAAAACTTTATATAAGCCTTATTATCGTCATATCTTCTACACTACACAACTACAACAATATCTATGGTGCTCCCAGCATTTTCTTGACCACCTTCACGACATGATCTTTGTTTGGAAGTGATTCCATCTCCAAGTTCAAAGCGTACGGTGTGGGTACGTCGGCAGCAGTGATTCGAGCTACAGGAGCGTCAAGTTGGTCAAAGGCGTCTGATTCCATGAGTTGAGCCGCAATTTCGGCTCCAATGCCACAGAAAGGCCAGCCGGTTTCCACTGACACCAAACGATGAGTTTTTAGAACAGACTTCTTGATGGCGTTAAAGTCTAATGGCCTTAGGGAACGGAGGTTGATTACCTGTAAGGACGTGTATATATGTATGTGCGTATTGATACCTATACCCACATGCAGCGATAAACTTTTCTACGCATAGCATATGCTACAATATAGCCCTAGCTCAAAGCCTGGCTCAAAGCCCTAAGCCAAAGGTCCTAATCCTGGTCCTCGTCCTAGCCTGTTCCTGGTCCTAGACCTGGTCCTACTCCCAATCCTGGTCCGAGCCTTGGCTTGATGCTAGTCCTGGTCTTAGTCCTAGATATAGTCCTAGCTCTAGTCGTGACCCTGGTCCTAGCTCTAGCCCTAGCCCAAATCACTAGCCCTAACCCTAGCCATAGCCCTAGTTGGAGCCGCAGCCCTAGCCTTAGTCCAAGTGTAGGCCCTTATCCCTTTAAAATTTACCCTACCTCAGCATCAATGCCAGCCTTACATAACTCCTCAGCACCTTGAAGAGCATGTAGCATACCCATCGAATGCGATACGATAGTAACATCCTTTCCTTGTCTTTCAATTTTCGCTTTGCCAATTTCAATCGTAAAATCCTTGTCCAAAGCCTCGTCAGACAAGGGGAAACTGTAGCCGTACAGCATCTCATCTTCCAGAATCACAACTGAAACCAAGGTTTATATTAGGCTTATTCTTCTCTGTAAAAACCCTATACCTACCCTAACCTGCCCTACCCTACCCTACTACATACTACTGTGTCCAGCCCACCCGGACCCTCTACCCTTCCCATACGTCCCCTTATTCCATATTATCTTATCCTATCACACGCTGCCCTATCTAGTCTTGTCGAGATTAACCCAACCCAGCCCAGGCCAGCCATTCCTTGACTTGCCCTGTTCGCTTCTACGCTTCCCTTTCCTGTTCTACCTTCTATTATATATATGCTCTACCCCCACCTTTATCTATAATATGCTGTCCTATCCTGCCCCACACGACTCTAAAAAAACCATACCCTACCACACCCGGCCCTGCTTTATTACACTGCCATACCCTACCCTACATTACCCTAGTTTATCCTACCCTACATTACCCTACCTTACATTACCCTACCCTACCCTACCCTACCCTACCCTATACTACCTTGCCCTACCCTACCCTACTTTATTCTGCCTTACCCTTTCTTTCATAAAAATCCGCCCCCTTCTAAAATTAGCTAAAAAATTATTTTTAAGAATCCACCCCTTACCAGGATTGTCATCTCGTACAGCAGCCTTCAAAAGCCCTCTGGCATCTTCACAACTGTAAGGTGCAACCACCTTTAGACCAGGACAGTGGGCATACCACGACGAGTAATCTTGAGTATGTTGGGCTGCTACACCTGTAGCCCAGCCATGAGGACCACGGAAGACTATTGGGACATTGCACTAAAATTAAAAAAAAATTTAATTTTTAAAAATTTTTATTTTTGAAAAAAAAATTTTCAAATTTTTTAAAAAGTCACAAACTACAATGTTACAGTACCCACCCTTCCAGCAGACATATAGAAAGCCTTGCCAGCACTGTTAATTATGTGATCAATGCTTTGCATAGCGAAATTCCATGTCATATAATCCACGATTGGCCTCAGGCCATTGAAAGCCGCTCCGACCGCAATTCCAGTAAATCCCATCTCAGCGATTGGCGTGTCGATCACTCGCTTATCTCCATACTTTTTCCACAAGCCTTTGGTTACCTGAGCATTACCACAAATTAAAAATTTTACCCTACCCTACCCTACTCTACCCTACTCTACCCTACCCAATCCCACCTACTCTACCCTACTCTACGATAACTTACCCACCCCTATCCTATGTTCCCCTACCTCATCCTACCCTGCCCTATTTTTTCCATTTTTCAATCCCCACCCCCATTCCTATTAAAGCCGCAAGCCTAATTCTAACCACCCCAAATCAACCCAACCCAATCCTCTCCTATCCTATCTTTCCTGATCCTACCCTACCCAACTCAACCCTGACCTTACCTTATAAGGACCATCAAACTGTGCCACCTCCTCGCCGATGATAAAGACCCTTTCGTCTCTGGCCAGCTCCTCGTCCAATGCGTTGTGTAGCGCATCTCTGACCTTAAAAACATTGGCCGCTGTTGCTTGAATTTGAGTATCAGCATACGTGCGTGCTGACACTAATGGTACTCTTTTTAGGTGAAGAAGAAGGTTCAAGGACATCCTTTAAAAATGAATTTTTTAATTTTTTGAACTTTTATATAAGTAGGGTAAATTTTAAATATCTTGAGTTATGTTAATAGTGCTCTAGTTTTAGCCAAAGTTCTAGTTATATCCCTAGCCTCAATCCTAGTTCTCTTTATGGTTTTAGCTCTTACTCTAGCCTAGCCCTAGAGCTCTAGTTCTGTTTTTAATATTAGCCCTGATCATAAAGTTTTAGGCCTGGTTTTAGGCCTAGCCTTAGCCCTAGCTCTAGTCCTAACGATAGCTCTAGCTCTAATCTTAGCGGTAGCTGTAGCCCTAGCTTTAGCCTTAATACTAGCCCTTTTCCTTCATCCCGACTCTAGCTCTAACCCTAGCCCCAACTCGAGTCCTAGCTTTAGCCCTAGTCTTAGCCATAGCTCGAGTCCTGACTTAAGCTTTAGCCTTTACAAAGCCTCAGCTCTAGCCCTAGATCTATTTTTAACCCTAGCTCCAGCCCTAGCCCTAGCATTAGCCCAAGTCCTTGCCCTGCCTCTGGCATAACTTATCCTAAGTCGAAGTCCGAGTCCTAGCCCCAATTTTGGCCCTTACGATAACCCCAACTTTAGTTCTGGCTTTATCTTTAACCCTAGCTTTAGCTCTAGCCCTAGTCCAGCCCTACGTCCAAGCCTAACTTCGTATTCAAGAAATAAACCCCAAACATCAAAATTTATTAACATATCAGGCCAAAACCTTAGGATATTATTAACATATGAGATCGAAAAACACAAACAAAAGCGATGACCAAAAATTATCAACTACGCTTCGCAGCGCCCCATCTCCGACTTTGTTTTGTTCGGCGAAAAACCCATAGCCTTTTCGATTCAGGAAATGGAAACGTTTCTCTCGGTTGCACGTGAAATCACTTACAACCAATGATAACATATTTCACAATAATAACTTGCTTCGAAATGAAATGAATTTAGAATTTAAAGTACGTTATAAACGCAACTTAAAAAAGTTTTATATAAATATAAAAATTTTGAAAAAATTTGACAAAAAACAGTTTTTAATATAGTATGTGCGCTCTAAAATTTAGTAAAGATTTCTCTAAAATTTAGTAAAGATTTACTAAAAATTCATTTTTAATCTTAAAAATTCTAAAAATAGACCTGGAGGTATGGGGAATTGAACCCCAGCCCTCTCGCATGCTAAGCGAGCGCTCTACCCCTGAGCTATACCCCCACAAACGAAGCTTGCGTTTGAAAGTTTAGATTATCGTTTTGATAAGTGTAGAACAGGTTCATTGATGTATCTGAAAGCAGTTTTAATGATAAAACATTTAAAAATATAAAATTTGATATAAATTTACGTATTTCAAGCAAATTTTTTCAAATGCGGATTGTTTTCGCGTCGAAACCTAAAGCTTTTTTGCCAAAAGCTTCCGAAAAATATTTTTTCAAAGAACCCTTTGAATTTTGTAAAATGTCGTCGTCGAAAAGTGTTTTCCGATGTCGATTTTGTTTTTATATCGTAGTATTTATCATATTTTGGCTATATTTTCATTTTCTGAGCTCATTTTACTTTTAAAAGTTTCAGCGATGTCAATTGTCTCCCGAAAGTATTATCCTTTATATTATGATGGATTTTGGGACTTTATTTGGCAGTTTCTCCATGATGAGGGCCAAGTTAGAGTTGTCGCTTGAAAACCTAGAAATTTGAATGTTTTTAAATATTATTTTTCAAATAATTATTCAGATTTTGCGAGACAAACGTCACTTTCTTCAAATTTTTTCATTTTTTTTCAGGAAAAAAACATTTTCTCATGAAAATGTTCATTTTTAATTCGAATTATTCAAATTTCTCCAACTTTTCGTGGGCCTATAAAAGGCAGGGAGATCAAGGAACGGACTTCATTTTGATGTTCAGCTGTTTTGGGGTCGATTCGATTTGCAATCCAAAATGCTGATCAATTCGTGGCCGAAACTCTTTACATGGTTATTCTTGGCAAACCAGCTTCAGGTCCTTGTTGCTGATGTTGAATTGAAGCCTGACAGAAAATCAGAATACGAACTGGCTTGTAAGTTTTGAATTTCTGTTTCTTTTGTGATTTTTTTTGAATTTGGACGTTTTTGGACTTTTTTTTATTATAATGTCAATGTTTTTGCGCCTTATTTTTTGATTTTTATAAATTTTTTATTCTTGGAATGGGTAATTAGTTTCTTTGTGTTATATTACTGATGGCTGTTTCAGTGAATGGTGTGTGCTCATCGTTGATAATCAAGTTCGATATCGACGAGTTCAGAGAGAAATACAAAGACGAAGCTACGAATGTCTTCAAAGGTAATTTTTAAATCTTTATTTTACTTATATGTCTTTGTTTATCAATTTTTTTTATGTATATGAAGGCCTATATTCAGAATTAAGATAGCTCGTGTTAGGTCTAACTCTATTTATAAATTTATTCGATGTGTGAAGCTAGTTTTTGCTATTCTTGGTTATTCGTGGCGAATGAGCTGTGTACAAGTTTTTAAAACTATGACTGATGGTTATAAAAGGTGATTTATATACTACCCCAGGTTCTAAATGTATTTGGGTTCAGTTTAAGTTGCTCTAATCTATTTGAATTTAGGAATTTTATCCGAACAGAGTGGTGCAGGCTTTTGGAAGAACGAAATCGCTCGTGCTTACGCGAATGCTTTGGCTGGTTCGATTTTGGCCTTTTCTCAATCGGACTGTCGCTTCATCAACGGCGATATGCACATCGACTGGGTTCATCCGTTCAGTTTTGGTTTGTCCACGATGCTGAGACATGTTTACGTTGTAAGTTGGGGCGGGAATTCTTTTGGTAGAGGGGTGTTTTTACAAGTTGGGCTTAAAATTAAAAAATTTTTTGAGACTTTCTCCTCCCCGCCCCTTCTCCCACTGCTTGGCCTTAGGGGTTAAAAACGGGTTGTTTAGACTATTTTAATGTTTCTTACTAAATCTTATCATTTTAATACGTTTTTAACTTTAGGTCACTGGAACTTTATCCGGCTTTGCAGCAGCCGCTTCTGGTCGTGGTCGTATTGACTTGACCGGCATTAACCGTGTCATGAACCGCGACAACAAGCCATACAGTATCGACTTTGATCTGATGCGAAAGGAAGGTGAAAATATCCTCCAACTTATGATGTTTGAAATGTATCAGGGAATGTGTGAGTTTTTGATGGTTTTGTTTGTGTTTAGGTTGTTTCAAGTCTTTAAATGGTCAAGCTACCTGTGGACGACTTTTTAGATTGATTTTTTATTAGGTTGACTCGAAACTAGCGGGACACCTTTTAGTTGAAAAATAAAGGAAAAGTGTCCCTTTACTTTCTGTGCAATCTAATGTTTTGTCTTTTATAGGGGTCGGAGGAAAGCTGCACGTTTCTGAGTACGTACTCACTGATTCAAACACCCTCAAGAAGGGCACGGTTATGGATGCGGCCTTGACTAAGAATGTTAATGCTCGTGGCGTTCAAATTCAATACAACCGTCTTTCCGGGTATTCTGTAAATCATATTGCGATTGGGGATTCGTCTTGTGCCAACGGAAATCTGCCGGATAAGACGTGTTGTCCAGAAAAGTGCAAACTCGGGTGCTTTAGTACTTCAAAGGGTGTAGGCTGCTCGGTGAGTTATATAACGTTTTATTGTAGTATGTGTAATGGCGAAAAGGGATGTATAAGTTCATGTAGTAGCGGAAGGGAATGTATAAGTTAATGTTGTAGCGAAAAGAAATGTATAAATAGTAATTGTGTGTGCTGTAGTAGCGATGTTATTCAACTTGTGTTTATTAAATTTGTTTAGAGTTGCCCGGAAGGTTCATATTGGAATCATGGGAGCGAGGACTGCGTAACATGCAACAACGAAAACATTTTGGATCAATTCTGTGTTGCTGGGGAAAAGTCCCAGTGTCCTCGTGGGTTTTATTGACTTGCCATTTATTATATTAGGTTTAAGTTTTATTTTGTTTAAGTTTATATGAGATACAAATAATTTTGTGCCTCTTTTCATGGCAAATTTTTGGGATTAGGGGGTACAGAGTTATTTGAACAACTTTATACTAACCTAATATCAATCATCTAGTACTAACCTATTATGAATCATCTAATACTAACTCAATGTACAATCTACTTCCCTAAAATAGTTACTTCTGCTTATTTTGGTAGTCTATATCAGTTTTTTTGCAGCACCATTGGTTCAGATCGGAAACACTTGCTCGTACACATGTCCCGCCGGTACCTCGATCTCGGAATCAATGGATGAAATTCGCAAAAATAAAGTTTCTACAGTTCCGGTATGCAAGCCTTGTTCTTACACCTTTTCCCGCAGCGACTTTACCTTCCCGAGAGCAAAAACTTGTGCTAAAAGTAAGGTTTTTTGGAGGTTTTGTGCTCATAAATCATTTGAATGATGTATTAGGTTTAACCTAAAGAAGCGGGACACTTTTGAAAATCGAATGAAAAGTGTCCCGCTACTTTTGTTCAACCTAATAATAGGAGGTAGGAGTGGAGAGCTCTAGCCCCTACCTTAATGTACAGACGTTGATATAACTCGTTTCGTTTAGCCTGCACTCACACTGGCTTGTTGACCCTGTTCAATGGCTTGGAGGACTGCAAAATTCTGATCGGCAATGTCATCATCAACCAGTGGACAATGGGACAGCGCACCTCACTCGAGATGAACGAAAGGTTTATCAAGTTCTTTGATCAATTCCAACAAATTTATGGAAACGTTATTGTGCACGACCTTCTGAACGTTGTCACCTTTGACTACTTCCGCAATTTGCGTGGCGTCGAAGGGTGAGTCTGGCAAGGTTTATATTTTTGGTATTTGGGGACATTTTATGCTCTTTCATCCTATATATCCTTCCTATATAGGTCACGTTTTATAACACGAGGGATTTTGTGCAACTCTTTTGTAAGGGGGATTCTTTGCGATATAATTGAATAAGTTTTTTGTTTTCAGTACGTTGAGCTTCTTGGACAATGACATGCTCGCTCACCTGCCGCTGAATTCCATGTCGACGGGTGGCATCGCGAACCTCACGCTCAAGAGAAACCATCGTTTGAACGTGGCGGCACGTAAAAACTTTATTAACCGCGTGGTTCGTGGAAAGAAGCAGATTTGGTACAACATGAAGCCCACGACCTACCAAGGATTTGGTGCGAGCGTTGAGGAAATGTACGACAATTACGCAACTCTCACTTATCCTACTTACGATGTCATTTCGTGCCCAAGTAACACGCCATTTGTGGTGAAGGATCCCAAGGGTAAAAATGTGAGGATTTTTTTTTGTAATCAATTTTTTGTCTTAACATGGGAGTCTAAATTCACCTTTTTCAACATTTTTAAATCCTGTTGGGTTTTTTGATTCACAAGGAAAGTACTGGACCTGACAAACTCAGAAACAGCTCAAATTTTATATAAATCATTTGTACCACCAATAGTACCCATAAAAAATTTTAGCTCGCGATTTTGAGTTTTAAAATTTGAACAACCTACTCTAATATAATATGAACAGTCTAATTTAATCTACTCTAATATAATATGAACAATCTAATACTATAATATTTATTACATTTACAGACGTGCAAAAAAGATATTCCGACTCCTGATGGTTCATGTTCAGAGACTTGTGATGGTGGATGTGTGGACAATGGACAAACGTCGTGGCATTGCGCCAAATGCAAAGCCCTGGAGGTGGATGCGGTTAACGTGCAAACTTGTGTCGGTGAGCAGTGCCCGGTCGGATACTTTAAAGATGGCAAGAAGTGCCGTAGATGTCACCGCAACTGCATTAGGTCAGTATGGCGTTTTTAGTTTGGAAGGGGAGGATTGGAATGTTTTGAAGCGGTCCAGAGTCTCACGCTCCAGAAATTGAAATTGGGCTTTGTTTTTAATTTTAAAAAGTTTTCTCTAGTGATTGTTGATTTTTAGCTGCACCAAGTACACGGATACTCATGGTAAAGAATGTAGCTGCCAACTCGTCTATTTGAATGTGAATCATACTGTAAGTTGAAGGCTTTTGTACATTGTTACGTATAGTATGATAACTTAGTCTTTACAAAGCCCAACTCAGCTTTTACTTTAGTCCTATTAAGAAAAAGTGGCAAGAACTTTCTTTACAAAGCTAAAAATTGCAAGAACTTTGTTTACAAAACAAAAAGTGCCAAGAACTTTACTTACTAAACGGTAAATGGCAAGAATTTTTTTTGGCAAAGCAAAATATGGCAAGAACTTTCTTTAAAAAGCAAAATATAGCAAGAACTTTCTTTACAAACATAAAATGGCAACAACTTTATTCTAAGCACGAGTTGGTACTACCTTGTCTTACCAAACCAATGAGTTTGTAGTACTTTGAGTAAGATCTGGCTGAAAAGCGATTGTGAAATAACCTAACTTCTCTGTTTCAGTTGGCTTGCTTCCCGTTCATCTCGTCTCACAGTGGCATGGGTGAAGACGCCTTCACCACCGTCATCCACAACATCTTGTCCTTCGAAGACGAAAAGTTATAAACCAGATGTTATTGTCTTCTCTCTCCCTAACCAACGATCTCTATTTATGTTGCCATGGTCGAATAAAATGGGTCTTATAGCTTGTTTTGTATTTGATTTTTCGTATTTTATTATTAAGAACAGGTTGATATGGTTGTGTATGTAATAAGCATTGCGGGACCAGAGCTGGAGTTTTGATTTGGGCTCGGCAAAAATGTTCCCTCCGGCCAGTGGTTTGCCTGGGCCGTGCAGACGATGTTTTCAGGTCGATTCCGGCTATTTTTGAGGTCCGGTCCGGAATTTTTTTTCGCTTTTTTCCGGACAGTCCAGGGAAAACACTGTTCCCGGCTCCTTTTAAATTTGCTTCGGCCCAACCTGTGGTCAATACATGTGCTATTTGAAGCTATGCACTGTAAAAAATTTAAAACGCAATACCATGCCCTGTAACAGAGCTTGATACAGGCACCTGGACCGTGTTTAGTGGGCCTCCTTTCAAGCCTAGGTCCCAGTCGCTTTTCGTAGAAAAATTGAAAAAAACCCTCCTCCATCCGAACGGAAAGTCTACCCTCACCACCAAAATCATCTAGCCGGCAACCATCGGTAGTATCTTTATCCCGAACCTATTCTCCTTGACAGCAAACGACAACATTTCAAATTACAATTCATGTTGTGTTAAAAATCGGTATATTCAAAGCATAAGCTCACGTAAATAGGTATAATTTGAACATAAATCGTCTGTTTATTCTCATAAATTCATTGTTAGCAAAAATTATTTATATATCAAATTCAGTACTATTATGATACAAAATATACAACATTAGTAACCGTATTCTTCGTTGCCAACTTAGGGTGGTCCACAGCGGCGGCGGGCTCGTTTGGGCGTGGGCGGGCCGAGCCCATCCTTATGGTCATAGTCGAGGGATCGTATCGCTGAAACAAAGACAATAAACATCAAAAATAAGTGTAGTAAAGTCATATAAAAGCCATACACATACGACCAACAGTACGATCAAACGATTTTTTAGGTCTTCCGCCCGCTATGAACACTCAATTCATATCAAAGCCAAACTATCCTCTCCACCTACATAACACACTACCTTCCATCTACATAAGACACTACCTTCCACTTACATAACACACTACAGAACACATAAGATAAGTCAATATTTGTTAAATTAGTATAAGATTAGTCAATATAACTCACATCCCAACGCTCGGGCCGGGTACACGATCCGGTCCTCCACGACCTTCTCCAGCAGCTTGTTCACAAGCTCTGGGTTCTCCTTCTTGAGCTTGGCCCAGTCCAAGGTGGCCGATACCTCCTCATAGTTGTCTATAAGGAAGTGGCGGAATTCCTGTAAAGAAGAATAGTAAATTGAGTACAATATACTACATTAAACGTAAGGTGTAGAAGACAAACTTAAATCAATCAGATTTAAAAAGAATTATCCCTCTATTTTCATAAAACATTGATGTTAACTCAACTTTAATATAATTTAATACCTAAACTAAACTAAAATATTAAAACTCTGTAAAAAATGAATCAAAAAATCAAAACCCACCGCCAACAGCCGACTACAATCATAAAGGTCGGCCATATCCAAATACTCGACAAAATTTTTGATGTTGATCCGCTTTGACAAGATTTTCTCGGCCTCTTCCTTCAATCCGGGAACATCGTACTTCTGTGCCAATATTAGAATGTCGACAGTGTTCTTTTCGAATGCGCCTTGATCCACAACCCCGGCATATAAATAGTCCAACATGGTTGAAACGGCCGGTGGAGTGGAGTCTGGTATCGTTAATACCCCTTCCCTGGATTCGGTCATTTGAATTGAAAACATCGACTTGAACACAGTACTGGCCTGCGCTAGGACGGCTTTGTGCGCTTGGAATGTTTTGTTACCTACCTGAAAGAAAGACGTTCATTTTATAAGTTGTTCACAAAATTTTGTGCCCTTTCAACTAAATTTTACAGGATAAAACCCAAACAATACCCCTAAACAACCTACTTGAATTTCTAAATCCGTTAGAATACTTTCATCGTACAGCCGTCGTAAACTTTCGCGAAGCCGAACACCTGTCTTATCCGTGAACTCCCAGGGTGGACGCTCCTCGTCCGACGAACACATCCCATTCGGTAGGTACTCCACCTCACAACACACATACAAACTCCCGTCCATTTTTAAACATTGTAGTAGACGTTCACGTTCAACTTGAAATTTGCCTCGGCCTTGTTGATGTGTGAAGTCTTTGCAATCTCGACACACATTCGATATTCGTTCCGTGTGATCAATTACGTATATTTGAAAGTCGGCAGTTAGAGATTCTCCATCCTGAAAAAATTTAATTATTTTTACGTTCTACAGTTAAATTTTAACATTCTAAAGTTAAAGTTAATGTTCTAATGTTAAATGTTAACGTTCTACGATTAAAAATCAGTTTTCCATGAAAGATTAGACTTCAACAGCAAAAAAAAATTTTCCCAAGCTCAAAGTTAGTCCACAAAAGCTCGTTAACCTAAATCACTTGCCTGTAACCCGACCTGTCGAAGAAAAAACGAAACATATCCCTGATCTTCTTCCCGTTTTCCATTTGGATAAATATGTAGCTCCCACACAACGTTAGCTGCCAGTGGAGATGAGAAACTCTCGCTGACCATCGACTTGTTGTTTCTGTACAACCTCGTCAGCCTTTCGAACTAAAAATAAATTGTCAGCATTTCGAAAGAAAAATCGAAATGACATTAGCATTGTAACGGCCCAAGTCTTTTTAAAGAAATCCATTCTACACAAATAGTCAAGCTCTCAACACTCAATTCCTTCATAACAAGCTCCACCACCTTCCATAAACCTTTAGTATCCTAAAAGCAAAAGAAACACAACAAAATCATGGCGTACCTGCTCGATTTTCCACTGTAATTTGGCCGTAACGGCCATAACCCGACTGTTTTGGCTTGAAATTGTCTCCATTGTGTTGGAGGTGCCACTATTATAACTCGTATTCAAACTATCCAAAAAATGCGACGTTTCTATTGTGTCGTTTGGACTCGTACGGCGCTGAAAATTATAAAACGTTAAAAATCGTATGTTATCGTAACCAAAATGCTCAACTGAAGCTTCTACTTTAATAGCTTGAACCTAAAGCCCAACAAAACGTTTTGTTTCAAGCTAATTCAAAGTCCAAACGTTTGAGTGAATTAAAAGGCAAACAGCAAAAAAAGACAAATTAAAAATATAACAGAAACGGCATGAATAACACATCCTAACAAGTATAGGTTACAAAAAGTCAAATAAATTTCCTAAAATACATTTGAACTTTTGGAAAATACTATATCTAAGAATCCTACATCTTTCTTTCAGTAAAAAATATAATAGATAATCAATAAAATAAACTTTCAGTTCAACCCCAACATGAACAACATTAAATTTATCAAACTTTCAAATCAAACTGTATTTTTAGCTTTCAAAAGTATTGTCGTCTTACTAAACAAACCTAAAACCAAAATAACAATAAATAAAACAACTTACTCGTCGCATTATACGGGAAAGGTACCAGTTTCAATCGTTATTAGTTCATTAAAAGCCTCAATTCCTCCTCGATTAAGCCTGAAATAAGGCAAAATTTATTATAATATTAAAATATGCATAAATTTCCGTGAATTCGCGTAACCAACAATCTCTGTCACGAGCCCAAGGGGCCAAAAATTCCGTTAGAAATGCAAAAGTGCAGAATCGTTTCCCGACTTTCCGAGAGTAAAACGAAATGTCACAGAATTATCGGCCAGTACTTTGACACTTCGTTTTTTTCCTTCGGCGGATTTCTAGGATCCAAACCTGGGGGATCTTGAATTCATTTTTTAAAATAAAATACGGGGTTTTCAAGGATATCATAATCTGCTCCAAACATTTTATTTATCAAAAAAGTATTTTATGTTAAAATTATCTTATAGATATCAAAATGTATTTAACTCTATATTTTAGGTATCAATCGGGATTTAGAAGATCAAAAAGACTATCTTTGCTATAAAAATTTATGTGCAAGGTTAATAAGTTAATGTAATGAAATTCTGAAGGTTATTTTCAATATAAACAAAATCAAATGTAGCTTAAAATTAATGGTACATCATCTTCATGTTGTTTGCCCTTATCTTTAGTGTCAGTAACAGTGACGGCGTTTACTGCGTTGTAAAAGCGAGTACGATTTTTGTTATTCAAGCAGGTCATGTTGATGGATCCATTCGGGTCCATGAGGATGTTAAAATCAGTTTGGAGCTTCAAAATCTGGGATTCTGAAATGACTTAGGTATCGGTAGATTCAGATTGGGCTTCCTATTGAAGTTTAACACTAATTTATGTAGTTTAAAAAGATGAGTTGTCCAACAAGAGTTCGTATTTAAGGAATACATACCATTTAAGTTCAAAACAACATAAATTCCTTCTGATTTGCTGGCGATTTCGTCTGCTTCCAGCCCCGTAATCATCTTGTTCCTCTCTTTTTGCAGCTTCATCCTAACACTTTTGAGAGCATTTTTCCACGATTCGAGCAAACTTGGGTTTGTCAAAACTTCTGTCACTAATCGACATCCGAAGAAGGCTGGATTCGCCCATTTTACTTGTACAATCCGAGAAAAAGCCGAGTGAAGGTTCTGGAATGTCTTCTGGCTGTCAGGATGGTTTGGCGCCATGCCAGCTATCACATGGCCTAGGGATTCGTCTGAAAGGGAAATATTGTGTTTAAAGCTTTAAACAATTGAAAAATGGCTTTGAGATGACAAAACATATTTGTTATTGTCATATTAACCTTCAAAGACACTCATATTAACCTTCAACCCTTACCAAACAAATAAAAGTTAGCGGAGAATGATTGAGCAACCAAAAACTCTTTTCCTCGTTTCGCAAATTCACGGATTGGCCATGCATCGTCGGATAGACTTCTACCGAGGCCTTGATACGCCAAATCGAATAATGGTAAAACCTCGTTTTCCTCGAAAATGTCAAGTAGTTGTTGCCATTCGGCTTTGGTCAAGTTTTGTCCAGTAGGATTGTGGCAGGATGCTTGAAGAAGAACCGCTGAGCTGTAAAGAAGGTTTAGAAGTTTTGTTTTTCTTTTTAATATCCTATCAATACCTAAAACAATATAAATCCCTACAAAAATCTTACTGTTTAGGCATTAATTTAGCCTCCTTAATCAGTCTGCACTCTCCTCGTTCCGCTTCATCCCTCGTTCTCCATGTCATAGCACAAACTTCCAATCCATTCCTCTCAAGTATACCAATATGCTCCTCCCACGTAGGTAATGGTACGTAAACACGGCTCAATTTCAAATTGTTCTTTATAAAATGAGTTGCTACAACTATCGCGCCGTAACCGCCAATCGTCTGAATACCTAGAAGGCGGTGCTCGTCTTGCAGAATCGGGTTTTCTGGTCCAAAACATAGAGATCGGGCGGCATCGGAGAACTCTTGAGATCCTAGGTTGGGTAGATATTCTCGGTGAGGCTTTGGATTGAGGTAGAGCTGCTTGCGGACGTCGGTTATGTACTGTCGAAGGTCGTGGAAGTGCTCGGAATAGTAGGGGAATGCTGAAAAATGAACTTTTAGCTAAGACAATATCGATAGTTCTATTTATCATGACATTACAGGGATATATTTGTAATATTCCGTCATTATCTCTATCACAATATTCAATAGGTATATTCATCACGATATTATCAACAAACGTCTCTTTAAAAACCAGAGACAACATCCCTCAATAACAAACAAAACTTACTTTCCGTCCTTAAATCGATGGTGTTATCATTAACACCATTGGCATCTGAAGAAGAAGGCTGGCTTTCAGCGCAAATCGCAAAGAAACTCATGTTAAGTTAGCCCAAAAGTTAAGAATTAAAATGATTAGTCCCAACAGAATGTTAATGTAAAATTGGCTATCAAATTGACTGGGTCACACTTTCATCTGGTCAGTTCTGGGTGATATGATCTGAAAATTCATAAATTATTTTTGAATTAGAACTGAGGAAGTATACTTCAAGTTAATAACCATAAGAATAGGTATAAGCTTAATAAAAATCAAAAATCTCAGAGTTAATGACATAAAGTTCGCTTCACAACGGATCATTTTTAAAAATACTCAAATTTTAGGCAACAAAATTAAAAAAAGGAGTATAAACTCAGAGTTGAAGAAATTTAGGTATATTTTCTCTAAATTTATGGACAAAAATCGTTTCTAATATTATATCTTACCTATTCTGCACTCAAATTTTCTCCGCAAGTGAAGTTCCAGGAAAAACAAAGTTGTTGATCAGTCGAATTTCAAAATCTCTTGTTTTCCCATTTTATTTCGTTTTCTCGCTTTCTCTCGCTCTTTCATTTTCCTGCACCGTGCAAACGGTATGCGAGAATTGCACGGTGCGAAATCTTGTCGCGTTCCAGGTGCGAATGCAAAAAAAATTGAATTGGGCCGATTTTTGTTTATCAATTCCTGTTGTCCTATTCCCTGAAGTTAAGCCTACCTAGGGAGTTTTACCAAATATCCCTCCGTTTTTAGAACTAGACCTATATAAGATGAAAGATCATAAAAAATTACCGGTAAACCACTTTCAAAAACTGCAAAATAGTCTTGGCTAGCCAGTTACATTACGCTCATTATTCTTATATATATTTTTAGAAGGTATATCGTTAAAAGTCGCAAAATTTACCAAGAATTAGCATTGAAAACTTTATTCACAACATAAAACACAATAATATGCTATAAAACGTTAAAAATAACCATAAACCGCATAATTTGACTTACAAACGACGTAGGCTAACAATGTGACCCATGAAGAACCTTGTTGTAGACATTTTAACACTTGAAAGATTAGAAACAACAATTGTTACAATAGAAACAATAGACAATGTGCTTAGCATATTGAACAATTTAAGATTATCTTATTACCAAATAAACCCTGGAATAGTGGACTGATAATTAGCTAGAATAAGGTGCTCCGTAGCATTAGGGGTGAGAAAAGGGCCGGGCCGGGCCCACTTTTTAGGCCCGGCCCGTTTTCAATTTTCTCCCAGGCCGGCCCGGTCAGAAAATTTCTAGGCCCGGCCCGGCCCGTTTTAAAAAATTTTAAAACTTAAAAAATAAATGGAAATTTGGCTTTGCATTGTTCTTTTAGATCATTTATGTATCATGGTACCCAATAAAATCAAAAAACATCAACGGGGATTCAAATAAAAATTTTTTAAAAATTAAAAAATTTTTTTTTCGGGCCCGGGCCCAATTTTCAAGCCCGGCCCGCGGGCCGGGCCTAACCTTTGGGCCGGGCCTAGACGGCCCGTTTCTCACCCCTACGTAGCATGCTCTATATAAGGCATCTTTTCACGTTTTATCAATGAAAAAATGGCATTATAAAGCGACCTTATTCTAGTGTAGAAATCAATTTTTTAAAAAAATTTTAAAAAATATTAAAAGCTTTTAAAAAATTTAAAATCCCGATTTTTAAAACCCAAATTTTCGAAATTTAATTAAAAAAGAACTCAAACTTTGATACAATGGCAGTGTTGCTACGTTGGACCTGTAGCTTTTTAAATCTGTATTTGTTGACTATTACGTGATACCCTTACAGTCTGTAATTTACAGAGTTATTCTTCGTTGGCTTTTCAACTTATGCACACGACACAAGAGCTATTCTCTATTCTTAGCTCTCTTTTGAAGTATTACACTCTCAGAAGCTCCAGATTCTTGCCGTAGCTGATGGAGATCCAGTCGGTCATCGACGAGGACCATTCGACCTGGTTTATCTGTAAATTCGGATATTATTCATGGTATTATACACAAAAAATCGATAGCTATAAGAACTGGGCAGGTTTTTTTGAAAACTAAGTGCCTGCCCAAGTAGTGTAAAGCTAAGGTGCAGGGGTACGACAATAATTACTTTATTCTTGTATTAATATTGTGGGTGACTACCTATCCCATGGGGTGAACTATTCCCGGAGAAGTATTACTTCCTTTCAAAACCAATCCTTACCTGTCCTTGAGCCGTATAAGCAAGAATGGGATCTTCCACGGGCCGAGGCATGTTGTGAACGTCCCAGATCAATGCCTGTTTATCTTCGGCGACCGTGCAGATATGACAAGATGAATGTGGGGCCCAGCTGATAGCGTTCACTGGACCGTTATGGTTTTTCAGCGTCGCTACGGGAATCGACGGGATTCTGATATCAATAATGTAGACCTGAAAACGTTGTTTTAAACCTTGTTTTAATAGTGTAAAGTTTGTTAACCATCAGTAGTTTTTAAAAAACAAGAAACGTTGATGGCCCCGGGGACCTTAATTTGATCATTTTCCCCTTAAAACTTGCTCCCCCTCCCCTATAAAGTCTAACCAGGTCAATCTCCAAATCTTACCTCCGGTGAATCCTGAGCGAAAGTTGCCAAATAGTTGTGATCGTGTTGATTGAATGCCAATCTCAACAAGGGTTTCCTGTTCGGTTCTTCGAACACAATCATCGAGTATTCCATGTGGCGGATATCAAACATTCGTACTGATCCATCAGCGCCAACCGAGCCGAACACATCTTTTCCACTATTGATCTTCGAGAAGGCTATGTCAAACACCTCGCGATCATGGGCGATTAGTTGCGTTTTCACCGTTCCTTTGGTCGGTTTTCGTTCGGCAATCGGTTTTCCTGTCTGCAATAACACAACTGAGTAAAAAATTTTGTTGCCATACATAATTAAAGTTTTATAGACCTGTAAAGAGGTCGGGCCTTGGTTTAAGCCCCGTTTTTCAGGGCCATGTCTGCCGTACCGGCTCCTTACATAAATTTATAGAAGACCGGGTCTAGTAGGCACCCTTTCCGGTCTATGTCATACAAATATAAGGCTAACTTTTCAATAAAAAAAAATAATGTTAAAGCCAGCTAAAAATCCAAAAAAATTACCTCAATTTCCCAAATTGTGCAGGTAGTGTCAATGGAAGAAGTGGCAATTAGATTCGGATCTACTTCATTCCAATCAGCTGATGTGAGCGGCGCACAATACTGTGAACTTCTGTTCTAAAGTAAAAAAAAACTCATTATCTAGCAATGGCGGCCTATTTATCTTTTGTTTCAAATCCCAAATTTCAAAAATATTCCAAAAACAGGGCAAAAATAACCCAAAAAGCTCACATTATCCAACATTGATTCGAAGACAGCTCCATTTGGGCCTGCAACTGACCAGACCCGGAGGTAATCACCGGTGGTCGCAATCAGGTCTGGGTAGCGGCCTTTTTGTCCGGAATCCAAAGAACTTTCGTCGCTGGATAGGGATGATCGAAGGTGCCAATGTGTTTGAATTCTCCGACATCTTCACGTAGTTGGACTATGCTTATCTAAAATATAAAAATTAGATTAGTTTTGATTATTTTGGCTTTTATAATATTATTAACCTATCATCTATTCGGCATTGACTACTGTCATAATAATGAAACATATCACCCCAACTTCATAAGCAAAACACTCTACCTTATTATTGTACTCCTCGATGAAGCTTCCCACAGCCAGTCGAAACTTGTTTTCCGGCTCCGGCCTTGTGGACCATGCCATTCCATAGAGATTGAAGGGTGAGGAATAGACGTAGATCTCCTTTTTCTTCTGCTCCATCTGACTTGTATCCATTTGAGATTGAATCATTTGGGTGTTTGAGGTTGATGGGAAGGCCGTGTGATCGTCCTTCTTTTGTGGCCGATGATGAGAGGTGGCGACTTGGGAGGTGGACATTGGTCCTCGGTATGGGTGTTTGGCGGGGAGTGGGTGTTCGACGTAGTAGTAGGGTACCGAACGTTCTGGCAGTGATTGCTGAAAAATGTGGGTTTGTAAGAGTTGTTCATACGATTTTGTTTTTAAATAACGAATTTTCAAACTCCAAAAAAGTGGTTCTACAACAGTATTACTGTATATTAAACCTCAAAGCTTTCATTCTAATAATACCACTCAAAAATCCTCAATTTCTTAAATGTTACACCAAAAAATGACCTTCTATCTCCCCTTCAAGCCAAAAACATGCCATTATTTCTCTTTTAAAACAACATTATATTTTAAAGGCAAATGAAGAACGCAAATATAATCTGGTTAAGAACGCTTAAGTTTGAGATTATCACGTTCAAAATTAATTATTCTTAACGTAAAAATAACTTTAAAATTTTATTTGGTCAAAGAAATACAAAGAAAATCTTAACTTTTAAAAAAATAAAAAAAGGTAGAGCTATAAAATTCCCTTATAAACTGTTATATTAGGTCTATAAGTATGAATCTGCGTTTTTTCTACACTTTTTCAAAGAAAAACAAGCTGGCGTCGATTTTAAACATTTTTTTGTTTTTATTATTAAAAAACCCTTTTTACACTGTTCTAAAATACAGTGAACCCTCGCTAATAACTCCGCTTATAACAAAACCCCCGTATAGCATTTTTCGAACCTGTAGAAAAAAATCTTTCTCTGATTCTTAAATAAAAGAACTCCTGATGTAACGAAACATAGTAAAAAATTTTTGAATTCCCTTGCAATTCATTGTATCGGGAGTTCTTTGCACAAAAATTCCAAAAAAATGTTTTAAATTACAACAAAATTAATTGCAATTCTTAAAATTTTAAAGGTTGTCCAAGTACGTGCCAATACCATAAATACTAGATTCAAATTTTGCGTCACAGTTTTGACTACTGTTTAAAGTCTGCATCTGACGAATTCACAGCACACTGCAGGTACAAAATAATCGAAAGGGAATTTTTCGCGAAAAATTAGAAATTTTTTATTGTACGTGTTACATTTTTGTTCGTTGCTGGAAAACCAAGCAACATTGGCCTAAACAAGAACCAGCATTACGAAGGTAAGTGTTTTTACTTTCTATTTTTCTACTTTTTAAAAATTTTAAGTTTTGGGAAAGTAAAAAAATATTAATTTGAAAATTGAACTTTTCGTAAAATTCGATTTTAGATCTGCAAAACTGTCTATAATTTTAAATTTTGGAATCCCACAGCTTTTAGACAACATAATTTTAGCTGTGTACCCCAATTTTCAAGTCAATTTAAATTACCAAAAAAATGTAGTTCCAAAAAAACTAAAATTGTGGTCTATTATCATAGATAATATAAATTTTTATTTATTTCAGATGCCTCCAGCTTCGAAACGAAAAAAGATCAACTTGGCCAACCTACAAAAAGCTAAAATTCTCAATCCTAACATTGGCAAATGTTTGCGATCCGGAGTAACCATAAAAATAATCCCACATTGTACATGGTGATGGCTGAAGCAAGTGAAGAAATAACGAACGATGGTGAAATGAATCGTGGTAAACCGTGTACTGTTCTTTACCAATGGCGAGAAAAACAACAAGAGCGACATTTGAAGTTAGAATTGGCTCGTAAATCAAGATCATCAAGCATTGAACTTATCGTTGAAAAGTACAATGTTTATGTTGGAGGCGACTATTCATTTTTGGCCACCGTTAATGGGTTGAGCTGCGGTATTGCCTTTCCTTGCATATGGTGCTCGAAAAAATTTATAAAGGGGTCCAAAAGCAAAGAATCCATTGATTTAGAAGTATATGAACCCAGATCCGACAAAAGAGTAGAATAAGCCATTGAAAAGGACAAAAAACTTAAGAAGAGGAAAGAAAAGATTGTTGACATACCTGAGATTGTCCCACCAATTCTTCACAGCAAGATCAAGATAGGAAACTTACTATTCAAAAAAAATTGTGTTTCAGTTGATGAACAAGAACGCTTTGATGTAGTTCTGAAGCAATTCCAGGTAGACGTTGATTGCCATGAGGAGAAGATTATCTACAGCCGCTTCCACGGAAACAATATTAAGAGGATGTGCACTTCAATTGATGCATTATCAAGTAGGTTATTTGTATTATTGATTATAATCAACTTTTTAAAAATTTCCACTTCAGAAGGCTACCAAAAGATCAGTAAAGGTATAGAAATCATCAATGAATGATGCAAAATCGTATCATCAACAAAGAAGAACCTATCGGACAAAGAATTAATGGTGCTTTACTGCCGAAGTGGTAAACACTCGGGCTACAAGTGTTGTCAAACGATGAAGCTAGCTCAAAGCCTTTAAGCCATTGGCGGAGCATCAAGAAGTGCATTAGTGCATATCGTACTAATGCATATAGGACCATATGCACGGAAGAATAGAATGATTGGAGCTCTTGCTGAAGAAAGTATAGAAGCTATCCATTGTCGATTTTCTGAAGAAATGAAGCGATATGGATACAAAAAGGTTGACAAAGTGCGAAACAGCTTGAAATGGAAAGCAATCGACACATTACTGTTTGACAAAGATTATATATAATAATCTATGCCATTGGGTTTTAAAAACCTTGTCTACTCATTGTGTTTAAATAATATTATAAAAAAATTCATTATTTAGTTAAAATCTTAATGAGTTTCACTTTTTTTGGATATTGTAGTTAACTTGTTTATGCTTAAAACAAGCTTAAAATGTTCAAAATATATAAAAAAATAAACTTATTATTTAATTGTAACGGCTAAATACAGAAATCGATAATAATGTATATTACACTTTGATATCTGGTGTCATTTTTCGATTTTTTGAAACTAGTTTTTTATCTTGTTGCAAATTACCGTAATATTTTGGAATTAAACATGTTAAACATATATCAATATAATGTGGGATTCAATTTTTTGCTTTCATAGAAAAAAATTTTGTACCTGCAGTGCAGCACCAATGTTAAATAGTGTCGTAGCTCACAATATAAAACTTTAAAACTGCGAAATTTTACGAAAAATAGTTTTTATCGTATAACTTGTCTCCCGCAGCTTGGAGAGCATTAAATCAGCTTGTTTTGATACAAACGGCATGAACTTTCTTTACAAAACAAAAAATGGCAAGAACTTTCTTTACAAAGCACAAAATGGCAAAAATGTTTTTTACAAAACACGCTACAGTTTTCTCTTCGACAGTGTTAAAGCTCCACCTCCATTCACCCCTTCCTCCCTCTAATAGATCCCCCTGGAGGTAAGAACAAGAAATGGTAAATTTTTTTGATAATGGCAAGTGTTTTCTTTACCAATGGTTTTCTAGTACTGTCCCGTTAACTCTAACCTGTCCAAGTGTTTTGTTGACTATAATGAGAGTTTACTTTTAAAAGCGTTGACTATAACAATGGAACAGCTACCACGTGCAATTAACCAAAGCGAGAGCAAGTTTCTTGTTGACTATAATGTATATTTTGCTTATAAGCCTAGTTATTATGTTGTTCTGTAGTATAAGCAATTTCTTATTATATTAGGCTGTCCAAATAATTCTGTGCCCCTCTACAATAAATTTTCGGTGTTAATTATCTGAACAACCTAATATAATAAGAAATTGCTTTTTCTACATTTATCCACTCCATTTTTTTCTTACCATTGTTAGTACTACAGTTAACTCTTCCGTTTGTATCTCTTATTACTACAGTTAACTCTTGCGTTTGTATTTCTTATTTTTAGTACCATTTAACTTCACTTTTCCAATTGTTTTACGTCAACCTCCAAAACGAAACTACATTTTTGACCTCAACTTTTCCTCCTTCCTTCGCTGGCCGTGGCACGAGAGAAGACATAGTAAAAGTGGTGTTATCTTTAACGGGCTTTACACCTAATTATTAACTCGCCCGCCCGAAGTTAGAGAGGTTTCATTTGGGGCGTGCCGGTTGTAAAACGTTTATATTTATAGCATATATTACACTACGTTTTTGGGTTTGCATAAGGCTACTTTGCAAGCTCGGCATGTTGTAGCATTTGACATATTTCTAACTTGTAACATACAAAATATTTCTTCTAACTTTTAAAATAGTAAAAACGTAGTTTTCGCATTATTACAGCTAAACCGTGTTTTTATCCCACCTTCAGTAAAAACATAGTTTTTTCATTAACAAACTCTTATAAGCAAGACCAATATCAATTGCAACTTCTATTTCATTTAGCTACCGCTTACCATTGTGTATAATTAGAACCAGTGGTACTTCTATTTAGTACTACAATTGTACTCCTATATACAAAAACTCCATCATAACGAAAAAAACTTAAAATCCCCCAGCAATTCATTATACAGGAGTTCTACTGTAAATATTTTAATGTCTATTTGCTTGTGATCGCTACTCTAATTACAATGATTTCGAATGTTTAGCGATTTATCCCTGAGCCCGTTCGTTCTTTTTCATATACACGTCATGGTAAAAAGAAGCGGACCTCAGGTACAAATCACAAACATCATATACTACGCTTTGATAGATATAGATAGAGGTGAATAGAGGTGGATTCACCTCCAGCGCTGACCCGAAAAAAATCTACAGGTAGCAACTGAACGTGAAAAATTGAAAAAAAATAGAAAAAATGTCTGCAAAGGTAGCAGCTTCCTGTAGACCAAAAAAATTTAGCTTCCATTCCCCCCCCTCCCACTCTTAGGCTCTGCCGTTTTTAAATTTTGAATTCGGCTTCGGAGCCGCGCTGGCAATTTCTGTAAATACCCGCTCTGTTCCGGAGCCAGAGCTAACCCCAAGCCCTTGAAAACCCTAGTTATGCTGTAATTTTTCAGCTTTGTACTGTTAACAAAAAACCTTTAAACCTATTTATCATATGAACCTTAAAGACTCAAATGTCTAAATTAAAACACAAAATTTCATACAACAACTAAAATAATCAAGCAACTAACATCAGCTACCATAACAAACCAAAATTTTTAAATCCCCCGTAAACCATGTAATAAACGACCTCTAAAACAATAACATTTTCGAAAATCCCTTCGAAATCTTTTTGAAACAAAAGAAAAAAGTTCGATCGCTTTCGAAAAGCCCGATCTGACCTCAGCCCTCTGCCGCTCGTAATAGTGCTTTCGACCACAACTCTCCCCCGCTTCTGTTTCGGCCATTTTCTTATGTTTTATCAATTTTCTTTATTTAAACTTTAAAAAAAATCTTGTTTTTTTAAACTGTTTTTGCTAAATATATTACACAGAGTAATGATGTCAGTTTTTTTAGCAGATTTTCGCGTTTAATAAGGTTTTCTATCAGATCTTGCACTTGGAAAGTTATATTTATCAAATAAACTTCAGTAAAACATAGTAAAATTAAAAATTATTGTTTTTAAAAACCAATATCCTAATCATTATCACAAATGCTAGAGAATTCAAGTCCACCATATTAAAACTCCAAAAAATTATATTAACCCTCAGAACAACTAGAACATTTCGCCCCAAAACCCTACTAAAAGTCTCACCTGTCGTTGACCAATAAAGTTCTGTGACTGAGAGATACCGTTACCGTTCTTCAGCCCAAATCCTTGCTGATATTGAGCGAATTGACTCGATTGCGGTTGAAAATCGATAAATGGATCAGCCGTAGCTATGGAATGTTGTCGTTGATGTCCGTAGCCCTTGGGCTGATTCAAAAACGTCTGTCCAAAGTCGAAAGGTTGTGGAGTCCAAAAGGTTTGATTCTGAGAGTATGATGGGCTAGAAAAGTTTGCTTTACATAGATAAATTTGAATTTTTCGGTATGTTATTGTATGTATAAACTTCGAGACAAGAAACCAGACAATCAATCGCATCTACAGCCTATGGCTTGTTGTTAACATCGCCTAAAGATCAACGTAAAATTGTAAAAACTTACTTCTCAGCTTCAGAAAAATTTTGATTGTAGTTTTGACCACTTTCTTGACGCAACACTTGTCTGTTCGGATCTTCTAATTCAGAAGCCTAAAACCAAATGAATATTTACATTCTATAAATAAGAATACTACTTTATAACATATTCAATGTACTAAAACTATTTACAACCAATAATACGTCAAATACAACATTTGGGATAAAGTACAACAATTATTTTACAAGTGTAATATAAACTTCATTTTTTTCAAAATTTACAGCCTTTTTTTTGACAAATACATTTAACCTTTGCTTTATAAACGATAAGATATTGTAAAAACAATAACAACTGTGATTTTTCATAGTTTCGTTTTTACCGTACACTCTTATATTACACACGACACTTTAAAATAAGTTAACCCACTTTTTTAGCCTGAATCTGACGCCTTTTTCCAGAATTTCCACATCGTCGACTACAATACTTTCCGGAAAAACCCCCAGAGCGCCTTTAAAAGGCCAAAAAGTGGATCAAATTAAGTGAGCGAAAAATTTTTCCAAAATAAAATTAGGCCCATTACAAAAAATGACACAAACACTACCCACAACATCAATGGAAGGCCACAAAATTAACTCAAAAGTGTGTTACAACAAGTCTATAATTTATAAAAAACCAATACACGATGTAAACGCCAAATCTACATAGCTACAACATCCAAACTAACGTCTTCCGCCGAATATTCCATGCGATCGTCCATTATAACATTGATTAAAAAACGAAAACTTTAGACATATATTTAAAATTGAAAAAAAGAAGCTGCTTTGTTGATTTATCGACAAACTTTGGTATTATGTTGTTGGTTATCAAAAAGATCGCAATAAAAACCAAACTAAGACATTACGCCAGAGTATACTTGGCTGTTGAAATGTTTCGTGGCGGGACTGAACTCGATATTGCTTGTTAGACAAAATATGACTTTATTTGCAGGTTTAATGTTTATATTAACATTACAGTTAGATACTTACATAAACTAATAGATACCAGTGTTCTACAATAAAAACCAAGCTCTAGATTATGATTATTTTATTCAATAACATGAAACTAATAAATAACATATTTTTTAGCTTTTATTCTAGTATTTGGTCACAAAATAGGCTAAGGAAATTCGAATAACAATAAAAGTGAAGTTATAAAAGCTGAGTACCAGACTAAGGTAAGGATATGCGCACGGGTAGGGGCGGCGCTACGATCGGACTGTACATTGGGCCGGCTTTACATTGTGGTGGGGCCGGGACCGGTATGGTCGGGATTCGAAATGACTCTCGGTCGAGGTTGAAGCTCTGAAATTGTTGGATTTTTAGTTATTTGATGTTTTACAATTTGTATATTAAAATTGTAATTAAAAGGCAGATATAGCTTTATTGTTATAGGTAAACATATATTGTTGTATATAAAAGTATGTCGCTATAGATAAAAGGTATATTGTTATCAACAAAATGACCGAAACCACTTACCATGATAACATCCTGATTGTGCTTCTCGAACTGCTTATAATATCTGTTAGATTCTTTGTGCGGGTTAACATTATAGGTGCTGAACAGTCTTTTCAAGTCATTATCCCAATGACGCCATGGTCGTATGTCCTCTTCTGGTTCTTCTAGCTTCTTCTTCTAAAATACGTCAATAAATACACCTTTATACAAATTAATATAGTTAATCTTAGCAACATTAAAACCAGACGACTCGATATTAATATAGCGGAAGTTAAAATTAGGCAGTTTTAAAATAATTTGTGCCCTAATAACCTCTAAAAGAGTATTATAACCTTTCCTCTCTTTATTAGCATTGAAAACACATACATCTAATCAAAATATCTGATCAAGTGTTATATAACCCCCTTTACCTTAGCATCACATCGAACTGGCTTCGAAAGTTTCCGTTTTAGCGAATTTTTGGTCCTACATTTAGACAGTTTCCGATCACCTTCTCCCGTCTTACTTCGATGCTCGTTTCTTACCACAGACAAGGAGCAAGGATAATCTGACTTGTTATCATCTGTAAAATCACATGTCGATGATTGCGGAGTTGGAGTAGCCGAACATGAACTTTCTGGTTCTGGAAGTGGGGGTAGATACGTGCCCTGGAATGATAATTTTATATTATCTACTGATAATACCTTATATTATCAAAACGGTTAGCATTTCTGCCAAATAAAGCCAATAACGGGCATCCTGAGTCGATGAGAACCTAAACATCAACAACTGAGAGCCTAATGGCCACTAAACATAAAAAGCAAGCCCAAATGGCGAAACTTACACTATATCCATAATAAAGTCCTGGCTGATATAAGGAATGTCCGTTTTGGTCCTGTTTCAATGTAACAAACGGTCGCATTACTCGAGAAGAGCTCTAAAACACTTTAAAGCTTGGAAACTGCAACACAGTATCAAAACTACCTTTTCCGTGATACAACCTTCACATTTATAAAAACTTTCAATACATTACATTATTTTAGGTATTAGTTTGAAAAAAAGTAATTTCGGTAAATAAAAGCAATCCCAACTAAAACATCACCTAAAATACAAAAAACACAAAAAAGAAACAAAAACAAACTAACTCCATTCGACAAAATGTGCATGTTAAGCTGGGACAATAGCAAACTCGACCAATTCTGTTGAACCTTCTGAAATACGGAAGATTAATGTAGTTATAACTCAATTAATTGTCGCGAATAAAACTCCTGACCGTACCAAATGCTACCCCATAATCTGACTGCACTACCAAATCTAACTAGACCGCTTTCGCTAATCAAGTCCATTTTATAATGAAGATTTTGCGAAATTTCGATATTGTTCATGCCACCAACCGCAAAAACTCGTCGTTACTTTTGGAATATACCCAAAATTTGAACAAAATTGGTATCAAAAATTTCGTTATAACCATTTACCAACGATTTATGCAAAGATTATTCATAAGAAGTTACCTAAACATCAAAACCAGTTAAAATATCTTACCATTGACACTTCTTTGGCGGCTTGTCGAATAGTTGACGTTATTTCGCCGACTCCAGCCATTTTTAGGTTATATTGAAGTTACTAATTATATATAAGTTAGGAAAGCAACTTACTTCCACCTATGCAACGTGGAATATCAAGAATTGGACAAAAAATTGCATCAACCACTAAAGAGCAACACTTGTCCCACAACGTCGACAGTGGTGGGCCATGTCTTTCTGTTGGCTGAAATTTGGTCGGTTAACTGTGAAATGGGTAAAAACATACTTTGCTTTTACTGTAACAGCTAGGATAGAGAAAATAAAATCTCAAAATACTTCATAGAGTCTCCTGAGACGTGTAGCTCGTATGTAAATAAATTTTGCATGTAGTAATTAGAAATTTCGGACCGCGAGAACCGAATCTTGATTAAATATTTTAATTTTCGGGCCAAAAAACATTATCTACAATTAAAATCTGGGCTATAAAAGTGAGAAATAACATTTGTCTGTAGTTTCGAATGGAGTGTGCTATATGTCAACAACGGATTGTGGAGCAATTCGCTTTGAAAGCGATTGGAAGGTATTTCCATGATGAATGTTTGAGGGTGAGTATTGGGTCGATTTTGGCGAAGGAAGGAGTGAAATGGTTGTAATTCTGAGTACTATAATATATTTTAAGTTTTTATGGCACATTTTATAGGTTTAGTGTTTTTTTTGGCTTACTTCTGATATTACAGTTGATATCAAGTTGGGTTCCGGCACGAAATCCTTTAATTTTCTAAATTTAATGTTTGTAATGAATTTTAACACTAATACTATAACTCTATGTTAAATTTTACGTAAAAATATAGCTTTTTTCTTCTTTTAGTGCTCATGTTGTAATGGAGTATTGGCCGAGATCAGTCGTATCTTCTATCATCGTGACATGTTGATCTTATGCTTAACCGATTACATGCGTTTATATGGTAAATGGGGGCATTGTGAACGATGTGAAAAGCTCATAGCACCAGTGGAATGGGTTATCAAGGTGAATGAGTATAGATTTCATGTGGATTGCTTCGATTGTTATGACTGTAAGACGAGGTTTTGTGTGGGTGACACCTGTTATGTTAAGGATAATCGAATATTGTGTCAGAGCGACTATGTTAAGAGCTGTTTGGTGTGAATAAAAGTGCATTATGGAGTTATATTTAGGTTGTCGTGATGATTTTTGGAATTGGCTTTTGTAGGGTTGGGTGTGGTAGGGTAATGTATGGTATGGTAGGATAGGGTAACGTAAGGCAATGGAACGTAAAGTAAATAAGGGTATGATATTAGCATAATGTGGTTTAAGAAGTACTATATAACAGTAATAGTAACATCTTTATGTACAAACAATATTAATGTATGTAAAAAAACTTGACATACAATATAAATTACAGCTAAAGTAATGTACAATACTATTGTAAAATACGGTTATTGATGGTTTTCTTTTTAATTATGTCGAACAGGAAAGAGTTTTGCTAAAACCACGCCAACCGGTCCATTTGCAACGTTCTCGCTGGTTTTTTCGGCTACAAATGCCAGCTGAAGGATGATGTAAACTGTTAGGATGACCACTATTCTGAAAAAATTTTTTTTTAGTATCAGGTTTTTAGGTATAGGCTTATAGGTTTAGATTTTAGTTGTTTTAGTCAGCTTCAATAATGAAATTATTGCTTTTTTTCTGAATTTTTGTGAGCCATATTATAGTAGGTATAGGCGTAAAAGGAATAACATTTTTAGGCTTAAAAGTAGCTTTACGTAGGCTCAAAATGAGCTTTATTAGGCTTAAAAGTAGCTTTATATAGGCAAAAGGAGCAGCTTTATTAGGCTTAAACTAGCTTTATATGGGTACAAGAAGTGGCTTTTAAGGCTCAAAAGTGGCTTTATATAAGCACAAAAAGTAGTTTTATTAGGCTTAAAAGTAGTTTTATATAAGCACAAACAGTATAGTTTTTTATGCTTAAATGTAGCTTTATATAGGCACTTTTGATACATAACACTAGACTGCTACAAAAGTCTTGTCGTATATAAACGTTCAAAGCTTTGTACTTTTAAGACAAGACTTTTGTGATGTTCCATTTTCATCACATCTTTATATATACATATATATAAAAAGCTAAAACAATTAAAAACTCACAGTAAGCATAGGAACATGATAGTAGTCAGAACAAGCTGTAAAATCTCGAGTTTAGTCCAGTTATTCAGAATATTTGCCCATTTTTTAGCTCTTTCATATGTCATGGTGAATATCTTATTTTTTCGGCAGGAGCGCAGAATTAAATGAACGGACTAATATCTATTTGATCTTTGTGATATAATGCTTTAGAATATACTGATCTAGATAAGATTTATCTCTTGATAAGAATATATTGTAGTAGGTATGTCGGTAGATGACTGTAACTCATAGAAGAGCTACAGAACGTTGAGATAGACAATATAAACCTAAAATGATTGTTTGAAAGCTTTGAAATTGTCAAAACAAATCAGAAGCTATAAAAATATATTTGTATACGAGTAGTGAATAAAGCAAACGGAAGGTAAATATTGGTATGTGTGTCTTCTTCAAGAGCTTTAAGTATTCGAATTCGGAGTGCGCAGCGTCTTAGTTTGCGCGTGAACTGCGTATTGGCCTAGCCGGATAGGTGTTACGACGTGGTAGGAAGAGGCAGAGGATAGTATGACAGGGAAGTTATGGCAGGGTAGGGTGGGGTAGGGCAGGGTAATGCAGGATAGGGTAGATAAGGCAGTTGTGGGGTAGAGGTTGGTGATGCAAGGTAAGATGAGGGTGTTTTAGAGTAGGGCAATGCATTCTAAGCTAGAGGTGGGTAACCCAGGGTAGGTTAGGGTAAGGTAAGATAAAGCGTGGCAAAGTATAGGTAGGATAGGATAAGTTATGGTAGTGTAGCAGAAGTGGCAGGATATGGTGTTTTTTTTGTAGGAGAGGGTATTGTAACGCAGTTTTAGAATAGGGTAAGGCAGTTTAGTTTAGAGTGGATAAGGCAAGGTAAGGTAAGGCTAGAGCTGGGTAATGCAGAGTGGGGTAGGGCATAGTAGGATAAAGCATGGTAAGGTAAAGGTAAGGTATAGTAAGGTACGGCAGGGTAGGGTAGGATTGGGTAATGCCGTGTAGGGTAGGGTAGGTTAAGGTCAAATTAGGGCAGAGTAGATATTTTTTCAAAGTTAACAATCCTTATTTATTTATTGTATCCAATCACCGTATATATGTTGAGTAGTAAGAGTAAAAATACTGTGTAACAAAAATAGAAAGTTGGGCGTCATATCTAAATATAGACATACATATTGCTTAATCATATGTGTAGGATTGATATATGGTGTTTTATGGTATCCTGCGGGTCGGGGATTTACTTGTAGGGCTTTTGTTGGCTGGCTAAAAATAAAAAATTTGATTAAAAATACAAAATATTAAGTATACTGTAGTTTATATGTCACAGAAAATATTTTTAGACTAGGTTTGGGTCTTTTCAGTGCTTGATGGGAGGGGGGGGGGTAGGGTAAAAAAGTGGGGAGGGGTTGCGGAGGTTGTAGAGGGAGAGAGAAGGATAGTATGGGGGTAGGGCTAAGGTTAAACCTAGGGATAGGGATAAAGTTAGAGGTAGGGGTAAAGTTAAAGGTAGGGGTAGAGTTAGAGGTAGAAATTGTGGTAGAGAGTTTACACTTACCTGTTGTTGAAGAGCATTAAAGTTCAGAGCATTTTTGGACGGAGCAGATGATCTTGTATTGATGGTTTTATCAATAATAGCCTAAAAACAAAATTGCTTAAAAATGACTTTTTTCATAAGATAAGCCTAAAAAACGTCCTTGCGTAGGGTACATTTGGATAGAGCAGGGTAATCTAGGGTACGGTAGTGCTTTGTAAAATAAAATTTTAAGTTTTAAAGGTTTGAAAAATGCCATTTTTAACTATCACAGGCTTAAAAAATGATATTTTACATTAGGATAAGCTTAAAAAGTTCCATTTTTAACCATTATAGGCTTAAAAAGTAATAGTTACTATTATATGAAAATAAACCCACCGAAGTGTCAGGATACTCCACAGTACTATGACTCTTGGTTTTCTTCTTATCATTCTTATCACTCTTCTCTATTCTCTCTCCTTTTTCCATTTTCTCTGGTCTCTCGTTTCTCTCCACTCTCTCATTCTTCTCCACTCTCTCGTCCCGAACCTTCTCTTTCAAATCCTTGGCTGAGTTGGACTTGTTGTCCGATGACTTGCGATTGTCGTCATCTTTCTCCTTGTTCAAATTGACATTGGCCGAAGCGCTGTTGATCAGCGGTTTGAAGGCAGCTACTTTCTTGATCAGGTCTTCTTGTTGTTTCTCTAGGTCCTGAAGAGATAGAAACTCAAGATAATAGCTCAGAGCCCTAGCCCAGAGCCCTAGCCCAGAGCCCTAGCCCAGAGCCCTAGCATAGAGCCCTAGCCCAGAGCCCTAGCCCAGAGCCCTAGCCCAGAGCCCTAGCCCTAGCCCTAGCCCAGAGCCTTAGCCCAGAGCCCTAGCCCAGTGCCCTAGCCCAGAGCCCTAGTCTTGGCACTAGTCCTTCCTTCTAGCCCAGGCTTCTCAGTCCCATTCTCTTAGCCCTAGCCTTTTAGCCCTAACCATAACCCAGTCCAGAGTCCTCGCCCTTAGTCATGAGGAACAGGCCGGACCGACCTTGTACCAAATTTAAATATTAGAGCTGGGCTTGGAAAAAATTTTGATCGGGTCTGGCCTGAAAATTGGGCTCGGTCCTAATAATAAGTTATAATAAGTTCCTCTTGTCTTCTCGCCTCGGCCTTACTATTGCTTTACTATTAGGTGCCGGGTAAACGTCATTAAATGTCATATGTTACATGTAGATATATAGCTGTGTGGTAAATCTGTACTGTGATCTTAAATATCAACTTTTATATCTTAGGTGCCGACATAAAGAACCCGCCATACTTTTCCTGTAATTTTCTGTAAAAAATGGCGGGTTCTTTATGTCGGCACCTAATATAACGCTTTTCTGCCTTTACTCCAGTTCCACTTGATAAGTCCTACCCTTATCAAATCTACTGTAGTTTGAAAAAAAGTAAAAAAAAGTTCTTACCGTTTTTTCAAAATCGATAGGATTAGTTGGAGTTTTGGTGGAAGAACGCTTTGATTTATCGGCCGTTGGCGGTGGCAAATCACCGTTCTTTGCGCTCTTCTTGACCGGAAGCTCCTTTTCGGTTTGGACGGCATGTGACAAAACGCTTCCACGGCTCTAAAAATGTCACAATCGGCCGTTATAGCTATGATAAGTAATATTATAGTAACTATAGTACTAATGTACTTTTAAAACCTTAAAATTGTAAAGTACAGTATGTAAAAAGTTACAGTATACAAATTTATATATTGTAAATTACCGTACTTTTCATGATTGAAAAAATTTACATACTGTAACTTACCGTAGTTTTCATTCTTAAAGACATTTACATACTGTAACTTACCGTAGTTTTCATGATTGAAGTAGATGGATATACTTTGGGTGATACAGAACGAGATAGTTTTGCTAGCCGGTCCTGTTTTTCTGTCAAAATCGCTACTTTTATTGCTGATGGCCTGGCCCAGGGTTGGTAGGTCAGGTGATGAGGTCGGAGCTGGAAAAAAGAGGTTTTACTGTGGGATTTGGAAGTAAAGTAGCAAAAATTGAAATAAAATCATTTTAAAAATTTTATTTTAGGTTGTGATGAGCTTTATTACTGGGACATGAGGTTAAAAATGGCAGAAGTTTATGAAAAACAAAGAAAATTAGATTTTAGGCCAAAATTATTGATATGACCTGGAAAAAAATCATTTTTATACCTAAATATACACAAAATTAAAAAAATTTTTTTGGTCGATAATATTGCCTAAACCTTTACAATGCTATTTTACATTACCATCCAACCAAAAATTTTTTATATCAGTTTATATTACCCGTGACCTTTCACCTCATGGTTAATATATGTTTGACATCTAAATACAGACAAACGGTAGACAATGAAGACTTAACTTTTATGATTATAAAATAAAGAACACGGAGAATAAGCTAAAATCAAAATTTTTAAATAACTTAACCGCAACAGAGAAAACGACCGGTAACGTTTTGTAACAGAACTTTTGGCGCACTTTGTAACTTTTTCATTTTGCCTAAACTTTTTGTTCTAAACCCAAAATACATTCCTTAATAGTAAAACACACTAATACCCCTCTTTAAAACGCTATATCACACCCCTATCAACCATAGCCATCCACTTATATACCTTATGTTAACCAGGGCTTCGACAGTTTTAAAGCCTTACATCGTGTGTCGTAGCAGGTATCGTACACAAGACATAACAATCCTGTGCAAATTTCGGGCTTCGAATTTGATTTCAAAGGCTTCGTCGTGTGTTAGACGACAAAAACCATACAGTAAAGAGTTTTGAAAGCGTTTTTTGGTGTTTCACACAACAATGCCTTGTATAATATGCTGTTACGTACTGGGGTATTAGTAGGGGTGCATAGTAATTTATATTTGTGGTATATTTAAATTACTTTACAATAAAAATTTACTGTACTTTGTAAAAATAAGATTGATTGTCGTATTTTACCTGAAAATGAACCCGTTTGGCCGGCGAAACCATTTGAACAGTTTCCGAACTCATGTTTGTTATTGTTTCCAAGCCATATGTCAGTGGTAGTTGTAGTCGGTTTTATGTAATCTGAAGTACAATTTTGTTTATTTCAGAGCCATAACATGAAAATAGACACAGCACGCACGTTATCAATATTTTTAGCTACGATAGCAACTTTATCGATTATTTTCGAGCTCCCTATATAATGTAGTTCATCTTACTATAGGCCCACACTAGCTCTATAGTTACTTTTTTCCTAGCTATACCTTACTAGGGAATTGCACCAAATATCCCTCGGCTTTTTGAACGAGGTCTATATAGGATGAAAGAGCATAAAAAGTTACCGGGAGAACTGTTTTCAAAAACTGCTAAATGGATTGGGCTAGCGAGTTACAGTATGCTCTATATCCTTATATGTTTAAAGGGTATAGCTTTAAAGTTCAAAAAATGATATTTTTTGATAACTATTTTTTTCTAAAAGTGTTCAAAAACAACATATACGACTTAAAAAATATTTTTTTGTGTCAAAATATTGTTTGGCTAGCCAAAACTTCTTGTCAGTATGGCTAGACGCCAAAATGAAACCGGCGGGATTCGAACATCCCCCCTTCTGCACCCCAGACTAACTTCTTAACCACTCGGCCACACTGGATTTTATGTCCCTAGCAGTGCTTTACAATGCTCCTATCAGCGCTTTAGCCAACTATAACAATATCAAAGCCTCACCCTAGCCTTATCCTAACACTAACTTAGCTCTACCACGTTTTAGCGCTTCTTTAGCCCTACAGTACCTGTAGTTGTGCTTTGACCGAACTATTTATAACAATGTAACAATATTCTAGCTATACGCGTAGCCTACCTACAGTCAGTTGTTGCCTACATAAAGAGTTATGTATAAAAAACCATTTGGTTAACCCGTTCAAAAACTTTATACTCAAAACAAACCCTCATCATTACAAGCCCATAAATAGAAATGCCCTAAACAGCCGTAAAAACTCCTACATACACCCCCCCCTCAGTTGAAAATAATGCCTTGGCTAAAAATAATGTTAGCAAAGCAACAGTTTAATGACCTGATATAAACCTTAATTAAGTAGCTCTTAATAGGCAATTTAAAATAGCACAAACGTACCAATGAATACTCAATAGAAGGTTATTTTTGGTATTGTAGTACGTAGAAAGTAGCTTTGACTAAAATTTGTAGTTGAGCTTAGAAAGTGGTATTATAAAATGAAGTTTGGTTGAGTTATATACAAGTACGAATGTTCATTTCCTTATTCAAGATGGTCTAAGACAAAGTGTACGTATTTGCATAAATTGGTTAGGAACAAAATTTGATTATAGCTAGACTAGTTGTACTAAAAAACAAAAAAGACCTAAAAATATAATTTTAACCCTACCCCCCCCCCTTTACTTAAGAAAATTAATGTTAAGGCACAACATGCCCCCAACTACAAAGCCAACTGAACAAGAACGTTAAAACGCCCCGTTTAGCCACTTACTTAACGCCTTTAACAGCCCTCGACCACTAATGTTTACTTTCTCGAAAAGTGAATTTGTTTTCTCAAATCTCACCAAAACCTCAGGGCATTTGTATTCCCGCAGGAAATTAAAGCTGTAAAATCGACTTTTTTCCACGGAAACAACAAATAAAAAACTCGAAAGTAACAACAGTACCACCGGAAGTCGGACCTTGTAAACAGTAGTTGGTAGACAATTTTGGGAACGTACTCACAGTGGGCATGACAAATTGTTTTTGACCAAAATAGCATAACAAGGTTGTACAGTACACTAAGAGTGAGGTAGAGCTAGCGTAAGAGTAAGGTAAGTAGAGAAAAAGATGGTAGGGAACGGTAAGCAAGCAAAAGAGTAGGGTAGGGCTAAGACAAGGTAAATAGTAAGAAGTATAGAGTATGGACAGGGTAATATAAAGTATGGAGAACGATAGGGTATGGTTAGGGCGAAGTAAGAAGAAAGAAAACTAGGACAAGGCTAGGACAACAAAAATAAGCAAAAAAAAGTCTAAGGTAATATAAGTATAGAGAACGGTAGGTTTAGGTTACAGTAAAAAAAGTAGAGGAAAGATACGGTAGAGCTAAGGCAAGTTAAGTAGAGCTAATGATAAGAGATGGCTAGAGTAAGGTAAGTGGCAAGCAAAATAGAGAATAGTAGAGTAAAGTAAGTAAGATGAAGAATTGGGTAGGGCTACGGTATGACTGGAGAAAAGAAGAAATGAGGCTAGGGTAGGGTGACGATAAGACTAAACTAGGGAAATAGGAAAAATTAGAGTACGGCATAGGTCAAAGACTGGGATAGGGCTAGAGTAAATCTATGGTCCAAATAAGGTAAGGTCAAAGATGCTAAAGTTAAGGTAAATATAAGGTTTTGGCTAGAGTAGGCAAACGATAAAGTTAACAGCTAGTATAGAAGTTATAAGAAAAGTCGTGTTATAAAAAAATTAGGGCTAAAGCAAGTCTAACAGTAAGATAGAGCTAAGTTAAGGCTAGGACGAGGTTTAAAGTAAGGGCTTTATCAAAGACAACGGTAATGCTATAGCATTGATAGATTAATGGTAAAAATAAAAAAGAAAGAGTAAACTTAAGATAGGGTAGGGTAAGGTATGGTTATAGTACTGCTAAAACAGCCTAGGGTAGATTGAATTTTAAAAAAAATAAAAAAAAGTTAGTATAAGTGTATGATTTATATAAAAGATAGGTATAGAATAACAATACGGTATGCAAGAGCAAGGTTTAAAAGCCTTATTATTCAAGAAAAAACAATGAATATGTCTTTTATATATGTTTTTGTGAAACTTTTAATATATAAACAACATAATTATTATATTATCTAAAACAATAGAAACAATGGCTTATTAAAAACGTGACATCTTGTAATATGAACATATATTAAAAACATGTAAATAGTATATATATATATGTATCTGCAGCAAAAAATCATCTTTAGTATAATAATGTAAAAAAATTTGAAACAGTATATGCCACGGTAAGCTTTGTCAGTGATCTAATTAAAACAGCTCAAAGCTACCCTAAGATACTATCTTTACTTTACAAACTAAAAAACCTAAGGAATTTTGACTTTCGACTAAAAATACCCAAAAATGTTTCGAAAATTGTCGAGTAAACAACCATAAAACTGTACATAATGTGTTCATGTCCTCGTTGAGAATGTTTGTTGAACTGTAAATTTATTTCTCATGAGATTTTATGGCCAAAAAGTCAAAGTCCAAGCTTTTAAAAACAGTAAGCTTTTTATAAAAGTATAAGTTATGTTTAGCCTTGACCTGAGCCCACCTTTAGCCCTACTTTAGCCCTACTCTCTACCCTAGCCATACCTTAGGTTTACTCTAGCCTTATCTTAGCCTTGTCCTACACTTTTCCTAGCCTTGCTATAGCCTTGCCACAGCCTTGCCCTAGCCTTGCCCTAGCTTTGCTCTAAACTTGCCTTTCTCTAACCTTACTTTAGCCTCATTCCTATCCCAACTCAAGCTCTCCACTGTCTTTAACATTGGCCTACTACAGCTTTGCCTTGTCCATGTCTAACCCTTTCCTAGCTCATGTTTAACCTCAGATCAGCCCATCTGCCACCCTACCATAGTACCCACAGGCCTATAAAATAAAATGTAAAACTTTACTGTCTAAAGTTTACAACCCTTTCTAAAAGACTGTAAATAGCTACATTGTAAAGGCAGTAAAACAAAATGAGCACGTTGAACGTGAAATGATACGCTGTCAAGGTTTCTGGATGTCGGTTGCTACGCAAACAAAAAGAATCTCTTTGGAACACACAATTAGATGTTCAAAGCCGAACATAATCATAGAGTATAACCAAGATTACATTTCAAAACGTATTTCTACAAAAATTTTAAAAGTTTTATTTCAAATTTTACCTAACTTTGCTCTCTTCCTAGCCTTTTTCTAACATTGCTCTAGCCTTATCCTAGCTTTGCATTAACCTTGCACGACCCTAACCCCCTACTCTAGCTCTAACCTTACCCTAGCCTTGCTTTAGTTTTGCTCTAGCCTTGTTCTAGCCTTGCATTAGCCTTGCCCTAGCCTTGCCCTAGCCTTTCTCTAGCCTTGTCTTAGCCATTTCCTAGCTTTGCTCTAGCCTTGCTCTAACCTTGTCTTAGCTGTTTCCTAGCTTTGTTCTAGCGTTGCCCTAGCCTTGCCTTAGCTTTGTTTTAGCCTTTTTCTAGCCTTGTTCCAGTTCTTATTTAGCCATGCTTTAGTCTTGCCCTAGCTTTACTTTAGCAATATATCATTCCTACTTTGCTCTACACTAGCCTTACGCTAACTCAACCCTAGTCTTACCCCTGCTTTATCAGCCTGTTTGTAGTCATACCTTATTCTTACTAGCTCTCTAGCCTTATCTCATCATTATCTCTCTGCTCCACCCTAACACTCTGGCCTAATTCTAGCTCTGTTTTAGTTTTACCCTAGCACTACCGTAGCCCTGCTCTAGCTATACCCTATTCTTAATATAGCCCTAATCTAGCTCTATCTTAGCCTTGCTATATCCTTACATTATTACTGTTTTAGCCAGTGTTTTGCCCGGACCGGTCCGGAACGTTTTTTGCCTGTCCGGTCTGGCGATTTTTGGGTCCGGTCCAAGTTTAAAATTTTTAGGTCCGACCCGCAAAAAAATTTTTTTTATTTTTAAAAAAAGCAAGGAACGCTAAAACTGCTTTCTTTTTGCTTAAAAACTTAAAAATATATTTTATTCGCAATTTTTAAAACAGTTTTATCAAAATTAAAAAAAAATTCTTCCGGACCGGTCCGCAGCTTTTTTTTCGGTCCGAATTCGCAGATTTTTGTGTTTGGTCCGGTCCGCAAAAATTTTTTTTTCGGTTTGTCTGGTTCGGACCGGTCCGGCAAAACACTGGTTTTAGCCCTATTCTAACATTTATTGTTAGTCAACTCATCGTGCCTCATTGGCTCAGGGGCAGAGCGTCTGTCTAGTAAACAGAAGGTCGCTGGTTCGATTCCAGCATGAGGCAGTTTGTTTTATGT